ATTGTATTAGTGATAGTCATTTTTGTGATATATAAAAACATATAAATAATATATGTATATTATAATGCATTGTAAAAATATATTACAATAAATAATAAATTAAAATTGTTATTTTTTGTAGAATAAATATGTGTATTATCTTTTTTAAAACAATATTAGTGCTTGTATATAGATTGCTGTGAAAAATGCTAATATAAAATCAGATTTATTATTGAACGCTCTCTCGTGCAAAAACCTAAGATTAGGATGTTGAAAATATACTATTTAGAATTCTGAAAAACTATTGTAATTTCAATGATTTTTTAGAATTTTAAATAGTATTTTCGGCATCCTAATGTGTAATGTAATGGTTTTTGCATGACAAAGCATTTAATAACGTATAACAATTATATAACAAAATTATTAACGGCGTTAGTAATATCTATATAATATATCTATAACATATTTAAAACATTTATATAACAAAAATAACATACTGAAAATGTTCATGTAATAAAAGTATAACTATTATATAACAATCTGTAACATATATATAACAAATATGATATAACTGATACATAACCTTTATTACTCTTATGAGTGGGAAATTACAACTAACGAGAATGCAACATTTTGCATCCTCGTTATATAATCTGTTACATTCGGATTTATATATGTTACATTAATGTTATACAGCTGTGTTTGCTGGGTAGTTACTCTCATGCACAAACATTCACGTACAGAGCCTAAGTCTCTAATTTTGAAACACTCTGACATTTTCTCTTTCAGTTTACTTGTCTCCCTTTTGGAATTTAAGAAAATATAGAAATCATATACATGCAAACCAATTACAATATAAATATCATGCTTTTTCTTAATACCCAGCAAACACAAAGTAACAGTTACATAACTGTAAGTTAAAATTTCCTACTCAACAATATAACTGTTATATAACACGTGTGTTATGTAACAGTTATATTGTTGAGTAGGAAATTTTAACTTATAACACGTGTGTTATGTAACAGTTATATTGTTGAATAGGAAATTTTAACTTATAGTTATGTAACTGTTACTTTGTGTTTGCTGGGTATAAACACAAAGATCATATTCTGATCTTTTAACTTCTTGCTCAATTAGGAAACCATGAACCTTATCATTCCAGGATTTAGCTGTCTGTTTGAGACCATATATTGCTTTTTCAATTTATATACTTTATCCTTTTCTCCATCTTTAATAAATCCTTCAGGCTATTCCATAAATATTGTTTCTTGCAGGTCATCGTTTAGAAACGCAGTCGTTACGTCAACATGATTTATTTCTAGATTCAATTCTGCAGCCAACGCAAAAAGAATTCTAAGAGATGAGAGTCTAATAACCGGTGCAAAAGTTTGATCATAATCCCTACTAGGTGAAAGGCGGTAAAGATGGCGAGGAGGAAAGACGTACAGTGAGAAGGCGGAGTGAAAAAGGTAGTGAAAGGAAAGGCTGGAGAGGAGTGATCGGGAGATGGAGGAGGTGATGGAAAGGGGAGACGGAGAAGTGACAGTGGAAATGGGGGAGAGAAGAAAAAGTGAAGGATAGGAGAGTAACTGAAGTGGAAAGTGAGATGAGTTGGCATGAGTCGGCAGTCAGGAACGAGGAGGACGGAAGTGGTGGGGGAGAACGGAGGTGATCGAGAATCGATACGGAGAAGGAAGAGAATTGGACGGGAGGTTCGAGAGATTGATGGAAGTGGTGGTGGGGAGTGATGAGGCCGAGTGCAAGAGATCGATGGACAGGAGAGAAGGCGATTGGTTGGTGAAATCGAGAGATCGAAAGGGAGGAGAGAGGAAACGGAAACAGGGTGATGGAAGGCAAGAGAAAGTGAAACGAGCGGAGAGAACGAAAGATGACAGGCGAAAGGAGCGTACAAAGAGGAAACGGAGGAGCGGACAAAGCGGAGGAGAGGAGAGGAGAGAGGAGGGAGAATGAACGAGAAGAGAGGAAAGCGGGCAGAAAGCAGGAGAGGAACAAAGGAAAGAAAAGGAAAGGCAGGCGTGGCGGAGTCAAGAGAGAACACGAGAGGAAGAACGGAGAAGAAGACGGACAGAAGGAGGAGAGGACACGAGGGGGAGGAGAGAGAAAGGAAGAGAAGGTAGCTGTGGCGGAGACAAGAGAGGAGGCGGAGAAGAAGACAGAGATGGAGGAGCAGGGAGAGAGAGGGAAAGGACTGGAGGGGAGAGGAGAGAGATCGAAGGGAGAGGAAAGGCAGAAGGTGGTGGTGGGAGGAGAGGACGGGATACGAGGAGACGGAGGACAGAGGAGCAAAGAGCGAATGAGGGAATGAATGAGGAAGTGAATGAGTGAGTGAGTAAGAGAGAGAGAGAGAGAGAGAAAGAGAGAGAGAGAGAGAGAGCGTGCGTGCGTGCGTGCAGTGTGTAAAAAAGAATAGGGAGGGATTGAGGATGGGGCAGGAAGATCTAGACATGGAAGAGAGGATGATGAGAGGGAGGATGTGGGAGAGAGCAAGGTGCGAGGGGGGTGGGGGGGGGGGGGGGAAGGAAAAAACAAGGAGATGTGGGTGGACGAGAGGAAGTGGGGAGGGGAAGGGGGAGAGGATTGGACGGAGGGGGAAGGGAGGATAATATAAAACGTAAGGAATATGTTTGATTGTAGGAAAGGAGAGATGAGAAGGGAGGG